CCAGTAGCATTGGGCCAGCCCCATGATAAAAATGACCTCCCCGTCTGCTACCTTGGCTTGTTGAGATGCCTAGAACTCTCACTACTGGTCCCTCTTTAGCTTGAGGTATCAGCACTGTATTACAGGCAACTGCTCTATTCATCTGCATCTCACTGTAATTCTGCTAACTGCTTCCTCTTGTACTACACTGAGGCTCTATCCCTGGTGAATGAGCCAGCTCTCAGGAGAAAGCTCAGCTGTGCCCACATCAGTCTTCCTCCACTGAGTCTACAGAATGGCCTCCAAATCCATATCAGGGGCTGTGGTCCCGGCTGCTTGAGATATGTTCCTGACATGCCTGCCTCAGTGCTATCATGCATAGCTTCTACAGCCTGGCTTCCATGATGTGCCCACATCCTCACTGCCCACCTTTCTGTATGCTTGAGGTCTTATGCTTTGACTTCTCTGATACCAAAGGCTACTCTGGAACACACAATAGGCTCTTTCCTACCTCTTTTCTGCCAGCTGGTCCTGGTATCTTTCTGGGCTTGTGGAGCAACTCCATCTCCTGTCCTATGCCTACTCCAGGGAACAAGTGTAGCTTCAAAGACCCAAGGACACTGTAGGAGTAGGCACTGGTGGAACTAATCATCACAGCCCTAAGTGGGATTTTTGTTGTTGTTGCTCAGCTTGATGCTGGTATTTAGCTGCTTTCATTCAAGTCTTTTCTCGATGTTTCTTTATTCTCTTCAGTGAAAACGTTACTGTCCCTTGAGATTTCTCCAGGAAAGGGTATGTGTGTTTTGCAACAACAGGGGCTGAACAATTCTCTTGTAGGTGCTTCTTCAATTCTGTATCTCTCAAAAATGTTAGACCTTACTGAAATAAGGGACAACTGTTTTAGATTTTCCTAGAAGGAATTTGTATTCCCTACCTGGCTCACCAGCATCTGACTTTTCAGTTGTCATATGTGAGTTTCCACATCCTCAGAGAGGACTTTGTACTCACTCGGGCTGCAGAAGCCCCGCCCCCTCAGCCTTCCTCAGCTCCTAGTTTGATTCCTTCACTGTATGTAACATGATTTGAAATTCTGGAATCTCTTTGTCCACTTGCACTGCAGGACCTTCCCTTATCATAAACTGGAAAAGTCAGGGGCCACATCTGCTTTGTAACGCTGTATTTCTGGAGCCTGGTACAAGGCCCGGTCAAAGCAACTGTGAGCCCAGCACTCAGAAAGCAGACCAGGACGATCAGGATCTTCAAGATACATAGGGTTTGAGGCTAGCCTGAGTGAGCTACTCGAGACCCTGCTTCCAATGAATGAACAAAGAAAAATTGTTGGTTGCAAGTTTTTCTCCTTCCTAGTGAAGATAATGATAAAATTTATAGTTTCTACCAATGTCTGATGACCATCAAGTGACCCAAGACAGCCCACTAACCCCGTTCTTTCTGCTTATGTGTCATTTGCAAGTTCTGTTTACTGTCAAGGGCCACTGTGAGGGCTGCCTGCAGAGCTTCCAGAGCCTCCTGAAAGAGGGGCTTATTTTGGCAGCTTCACTTAGACTCACTGTTTTTCTTATTTGCATATATCATGGAAACAGTTTCTCAAAGAACCTCCAAAGTGCCTGCTCCTTTGTTCCTTTGTCTCTCTGCCATCACATTTGCCATTTATCAAAACCTCTGAGACATACTCACACTACGACTCAGCCGTGATGCTCACATCTAATCATTGAATACTCTCTGGCCAGTGGAATGAAACACCAATGCCAGGAATGATCATTTTTTAAGGTTTATTGTATCATTTCTCATCACCCCGCACCCCCCTCCCCCGTGTGTGTGTGTGTGTGTGTGTGTGTGTGTGTGTGTGTGCGCGCACTCCTGTGTGTGTGTGCCTAAGAAGACCAGAAGAGGGCGTCTGGATCTGGAGTCACAAATGATTGGGAGTCACTCAGTGTGGGTGCTGGGAACCACACTTCTCCGAGAGCAGCAATCACTCTTAACTGTTGAACCATCTCTCCAGCCAGGTAGAAATGCTTAACTGACATTCAAAGAAGAAATTAAGGGAAGGAACCTGAAGAGCCCGAACTCAGAGTGTGTTTAATGCATTATTAATCAGCTTGTGCTCTGATTGATGAACCATTGGAAGCTGAAGAGAAACTTAGAGCGCAACCACATGGCTGAGATTTGACATAAATCACCCACGCTCCTGTGCTCTGAGCACCATCTAAATCATTCTATGTATAGCCATGTTTATAAAGCCAGGAGGTGAATTATCGATCCTCTTCCATTAGAACTACTCAGGCCCCACTGGGTTGGGAACCTTACCTTATCTGTGGACAGGTGCCAGTGAATAGTGTCTCAATGCACATGTGATAATCTGCAAGATCTCTTCAAAGAGCGCATCTCCCACGACAAACAGAATCGGAGGGCAATGAAGATGATGGCGCTTGTTATTTTCCCTGGTCTTTGTTTCTTTCAGAAATGGTAGCCCATTTGGTGGCAAAGGGCTAAGGTGGCCTCTGATCCTTCTTTGGAGCATGAATTATTTCACCGTTTTCAAGACATGTGATCTCATTCAGAGGCCAGTGGGAAACCACCTCACTGTTGGAGAACTTTCCTGTACTTCAGTTTCCATGTCTATAAAAAGGTGGTGCTAAGACTTTTTCACAAAATTATCTTTGTGGTCTCCATGTTTCTCTGTTTTTCCTCCTCTCTCTGTGTGTGTATGGGGGGGGATGTGTACATGTGTGAAGAGAGGGAATGTGTACATGTGTGAATAGAGGGAATGTATACATGTGTGAAGAGAGGGAATGTACATGTATGAAGACAGGGAATGTGTACATGTGTGAAGGGAGGGACAACCTAGGGTGTTCCTCGGGAGCCATTCGCCTTGTTTGCTGAGGCATGGTTACTCACTGGCCTGGAGCTTGCCAAGTAGGCTCTGTTGGCTGGCTGGTGAGCCCCAGGGATCTGCCTATTTCTATCTTTGCAGTGCTTGGATTGCAAGTACATGACACCATGCCTCATTTTTTTCCCTTAAAATATAGGCTCTGTGGCTAGAACTCAGGTCCTCATGCTTGCAAGGCAAGCACGTTACCAAAGCTGAACTTTCACACCAGCCAAGGCCTGAATCGGGTCTGGTCTCTCCCATGTGCATTTGCTTGCTTGTTTGTTTGTTTGTATCACATTCTGGAAACTTACGGTTCTTAGAATCAACAAAAATTAATATTCTAATTGTATCAGTGTGTGAGTTGGTGTGTATATATTTGGTATATGTGTACAAGCGAGTGAGTCTCTGTGTGTGTGCACATATGTGTGGATTATGTACTTGAATGGTGTGTGTGTGTGTGTGTGTGTGTGTGTGTGTATGTGGGATATATGCCTGTGATATGTGTGTTGAGTATGGGTTGTATGTATACGAGCATGTAATGCATATGTGTGTATGGGGGTAGGTATGTGTCTTATGTTTCTATTGCTGTGAAGAGACACCATGATTACAACAACTCTTAGAAAGGAAAACACTTAACTGGGGTGGCAGCTTACAGTTCAGAGGTTCGGTCCATCATGGTGGGACATGGTGGCATGTAGGAGTCATGGTGCTGGAGACATAGCTGAGCGTCCTACATATTGCAGGCAACAGGAAGTGGTCTATCACACTGGGTGGTATGTTGAGCATAGATGAGACCTCAAAGCCCACGTCCATGATGTCACACTTCCTCCCTCAACACCACACCTCCTAATAGTGCCACTCCCTTTGGGGGCCTTTTTTTTTTCTTTCAAACCTCCAGATTATGTGACTGTGTGGTATGTGTGGTGTATGTGTGAGTGTGTGGTTCATGTGTGAGTATGCAGGGTGCACACACATACACACAGGCCGGAGGAGAACATTAGGTATCCTTCCCTCTCACCCTCTGTTCCCTGAACCCAGAGCTAGGCTGGTGTCTAGCAGTCCTTCTGTTCTCACAGTGCTAGCCAATGGCCATAATTAGCTTTCTATGCAGGTGTTGAGAATTTGAACTCAAGTCCTTATGCTTGCATATCAAGTGCTCTTATCCCTTGAGCCATCTCCTGGGGAACCCCCTAATTGTTTTCTTCATGTGAGTTCATTTGTTCACCTTTGGTAGATCACACTGTGAGCTCCAAAAGGGGTTGTTCTAGAACCCTCCCTTAACACTTTGGGCTCTCAGCCATTCTGTATTGAAAATAATAACAACAGTTACCACTTGATTGCAAATGATTAAGTCTGAAATAATCTTCTCTTCTCTTCCCAAGCCATCTCTCATTTCACAGGCTAAATGGAATAGACATCACTAGATCCAGTTTACTGGGGAGAAAAACAAAGAGCTCTCAGCAGGCCGGAAGTAAACCAGCAGCTGGGACTCCAGGCTCTGTCTCTCCCATCAAGTCTGCCACCCTCTTAAAGTTACAGTCCGAAGGACACACAAACCAGAGTTAACACATAGAAGCAGATTTTTATTTAAAACAAGTTGCATATATCATTTCCTTTTTCCCTTCTGAAAACCTCATCATCAAAGGCCGGTCTCAGATTTTCTAATTCAAAAACACTCATTTCAGAAAGCAAACACATCCCATAACTAGAAGAACAGAATTGTAATGTCAGTGCTGGGTAATGGATGAAATGTGTTGGGGGCTGGAACAGCCATCGTGCTTTCCCAAGTTGTAATGATGTCTTTCCGCCAAGCCACCCGAGCCTTGCCACCACGTTAAGGTCCAAAGTAACACACAGAGATTTATATTAGGTACAATGCTGCTGGCCAATGACTAGGATTTCTTTATGTATATATTTTATAAAGACTTATCTGATCAAGGACGCCAGTGGCATGCATCCTCTCTTGTCGGGCTCACATGGCGGCTCCAGAGAAGAAGAGGAAGAGGAAGGGAGCAATTTCCTGCTGTCCCTGCTTATATTCTGAGTCTGTCTGCTATGTCACTTCTGGATCACAAGAGTTCTTTTTACTGCATTTCCCAGAATCCTCCTCGACTCCTAGTCCCACCTATCTTTCTGCCTCATTGGCTGAACAGTGCTTTATTCAACAACCAATAAGATAAACATACACATACATTCCCCATCACCAAGAATCCCATCACTTTGCTCCTGAGCCTTTCTTTCTACCCACCAGTAGCATCCAAATGCCAGCAGAGGGACCCAGAGATGGGTCAGGGGGCAGAGACTGATTTCTGTGAACCTTCACCCTCCTGTACTGACTTCTCAACCTGTCCCTTAGGCTGATTAAGATGCAAGTTCACCCTTCCTGCCAGACAACTGAAAAGCAGGCAGGGAGACCCAAGTTTCTCTACACATTCCCTTACTGCTCTTTAGGACTTTTCTTCACCATTCTATCGGCATGTACACACACACACACACACACACACACACACACACACACACAGATGAGCATGCACACACAAAGATCTATTTTCATGTAGCAATGTATCTTATGAGTCTTGGTATCTGATTCTGAGCATCTTTCATCTGCATAAAAAATGGAAGACACCTATTATGGATCCAACCAGTAGAGACCCCAGGCTAGACCCTGAGGAAGGCAGGGCTTTTCTGTACTCATCCCCTGGTAATCTTCCCAGGGATACTGAGGAAACACGGGAATTTAAATAAGAGCCTTGCCCAAAACAATTGGAGATGCCTCCTTTTTCCTTATCCCCTTGATGCCTCTAAGAGAGAGATTTGCTGTTGTGGCAGCTATCACCATGCCTCCTCTTGGCATTCAGACAGTGGAAGACGTACATAGGAGGGAAAATGGTTTTCCAGTGTCTTCTCTCATTATTTTTTTTAAATTTTCATCTTCACAGCAGAGTTGTATTTTCCCAGGAGAACCTGAGAAGCACAATGCTCTTTGTTACACTAAATCCTGGGGAAATTCCACTGAACTTGGTGGCTGCTAAACTGGCCAGGATTCAAGAGAGGATGGTGGCTTCTTGGACATCCCCATTTATAAAGATTTTAGAGGTACACTGGGCGAACAGCCAAGGAGGTAGGCAAGGATGGTTTTTATCATTAGAATGAACTGTGAAGGACTGCAGGATAACAGGTGGTGTTCTTCCAGGGATACTTGCTGCGTACAGTGACTCCCTGGAGGTCTTGGCACCCTTATGAGCTGTGTGACTCTCCTGGCAGAAAGGCTATAACATCAGTAACATGAGATGTTTGCCAAAGGCACAAAACAAGGCACTTGTAAGGCGGACGCTGGCCAATGTCCAAGGATACCTCTTTAAGATTGGGAGGAGGGAGATGTAGCCTAGGGCAGTCCACAACCACCTCACCACCACTCGGAGGTATGGCCCATGGAAACAACAGATTCAAGGGAATGATACAATGTAAACTACTTGATGAATACTCTCAATTGTCTGAGAACTTGGGCTCACCCCTCTCCCCCAATAAAAATGGGCATAGTACCAAAGAAGCCAAGACTTGGAGGTTTTATCTGGTATGTTGCTGGTGTTGAATCCTCATGTCTGTCCTTCCAGTCATTTTGCCATGATTCCCATCCCTGCCTTCATCCAATTCAATAAATCATGTGAAAGGCATCCCTGTATATACTGGTAGACGGGAACTGAGGAGTAGCCCTGTCCTTGAGAACACCCCCAAACTGTAATTTTGAAAACTGATGAGCAATGCCATCTAGATCCAGACCGGAAGGAGCCCAGCAGGGCTGAGAAGAAGACTATATTGTTGTGAGAGACTGATTCTCCCTGTCCCAGCCTTCTGGGACTGGCGCTCCCTCAGAGGGTCACACTGATAGGTCATCCGACCTTGCTTTGCTGCTGGCCTTGCTAAGGCGGCGCTTGTCACCATGGTAGCCGGGAGGAAGGCGGTGGCCTGGAGAGGCTCCATTGTGTTCCTCCGGCTTCTGACCATAATGCATGTGGATGAAACCGTCTCTAGAAATAAGCTCCTGATCTGGCATTTCCTCCGTAGCCAGAGTGTCTGGATTCTTCCGGGAGCCCATATTATTACTGAAGTCACTTAAGAACTTCTCGCCTGGCCTGCTCCTCAGGCACTGATTGAAGTCAGGGGGAGGAGTGAGGCTCTGGACTAGGTTGGGGGAGGGCCTAAGAAGCTGCTGCTTATCCATACCTTGCCGGGACTTGACGAAGCGCTGTCGGATCTTCTTCCAGCCCAGGTGGTAGAGCTCAGCCAGGCTGAGAAAGAGAGACAGTGCAGCCACAGCCAGCATAAAGACAATGAAGACATTCTTCTCTGTGGGCCTTGAGACGTAACAGTTGACGGGGTGAGGACAGGGACTCCTGCGGCAGACATGCAGGGTATCCAGGAAGATCCCGTACAGGAGGTACTGGCCCACGATGAAAGCCACTTCCATGGTGGTGCGGATCAGAATGGTGCAGACATAGGTGTTGAGTAGAGTGCCCTGGAGGACAATCTTCCCATCCACTTCCTTCCAGCAGGACAGCTCTGCCTTCTCGGCCACTGGGTACTCATAGGAACCAGTGGCGCCCGCCTCTTTGGCTTTCTCCGCATCCCGCAGCTTCTGCTTTTCCTGCATGCGCACTGTGTGCATGGCATGGCCCATGTAGACCAGAGACGGTGTGGACACAAAGATGATCTGCAGCACCCAGTATCGAATGTGGGAGATGGGGAAGGCTTGGTCGTAGCAGACATTCTGGCAACCGGGCTGAATGGTATCACACCGGAAATCAGCCTGCTCATCTCCCCAGGAGGACTCAGCAGCGGTGCCCAGGACCAGCATTCGGAAAATGAACAGGACGGTGAGCCAGACTTTGCCAATGACCGTGGAGTGCTTGTGGACCTCCTCCAGGAACTCCCCCAGGAAGCTCCAGTCACCCATCTTGCCAGACTTAGGAGACGGATTCTGAACTTTCTGCAAACAGAGCAGAGAGAAAAAGATGTCTGTGAGGGAGGTTTCAAGAGGTTTAGAAGGTCCCATCATGCTCTGAGGGCATCGATCTGTACCAATGTGTTCTTTACGAAAGCGCAACCTTTGTTGGGTATGGTGGTGCGCACCTGTACTCGGAAGACTAGGGAAGAGGATGCAGGGGGATGAAGAGGTCAAGCTGCCTGTGGTCTCATAGAAAGTTAGTTATAGGCTAGCTGGGCTACACATGAGCCTGTCCAAAAAAAAAAAAAGTGATTTGTGGATGGTTTAAAATAAATTGTATATGTCTTAAAAATACCCTTCAATTATTAGAGGCTGTTTGTGTTTGCCTTTTGTTGTTGCTGTTTTTGTTTTTTTGTGATGTGGCCTGGGCATCTGGAGCGAGGTCCTTAGTAGAGTCGACCTGACCCACTTTTGTACATATGAACTGACAAAGGCTGTTGTTGCGAGCACAGGACAAAGTCCAGACTTGGGCGGGGATAGAATCATGAATCCTAGATGAGGTGCTATTGGTAGCTGATGGCTGCTGGGCAAGAAAAAGACAGTTTTCTTCAGAGATTTGCCCCAGAAGCTACCCGTGCTGCAGCAGACGGCTACTCCCCGTGCAGAAACCAGCAGCACTGCATTGATTGACTTAGTCAAAAAAGAGCAGATGAGGTTGGGAGGGGAAAGTGGCGGGGGAGGGAGAGTGGGAGGAATTGAAGGGAAGGGAGTGGGGGTGGGGTGAATTTAGGTATTTACTTTTTAAAAACATAAATTGAACGAGGGCAGGGACGGAAGAGATGGCTCAGCAGTTAAGAGCTCTGGCTGCTGGTCCACAGGACTCAGGTTTTGTTTCCGGCACCCACACGACAGCTCACAACCTACTGAAACTCCAATTTGGGGAATCCTGGCTTCATGGGCTGCTGCATGCATGCTGTGCACATGAATTCATGCAAACACACAATGACACACACACACACACACACACACACACACACACACACATAAAGAACGAAGACAGTGTAATTTTCTTAAAGTACTGAAAAGTGCCCTCCCATTCAACAGTTAGAGAGGGAATTCTAAACCAAGATTCTAGAAATTGTGTAAGGCGTGTGTTACAGTGTAGAGTCTATGTCTTACCTCCAGACAGTCCACTTCAGAAGGTGAAGTGTGTTAGTTCATAACCTGCCCCTTGAAGACATCAGTCTCTCTAGGCGGCCCCGATCCCACCCCACCCCAACCCCTAGGATAGAGAGTTAAAAAGGCTTGTGTTGTGGTCTAACAGCTGGTCTCTAATTAATAGTTCTAACCAGCGGCTGGTTCCCTATGTTCTTTGCATGTACATTATGTTAAACTTGTCCATGCAATAGGAAAGGTCCCACCACCCCCACAGAGATACAAAAACCAGATACCTCCTTTGTTTAGGGCTTTCTCTTCTGGGCCAGCCTCACTATCATAACAGCTACCTCACGTTCTTTTCTTTAGAAGTGATTTGTTTTTATTTTATGTCTATGAGTGTTTTTGCCTGAATGTATTTATGCGCACTACATGTGCTCCTGGTAAGAGGCAAGAAGAGGGCACTGGGTCACCTGGAACTGGAGTTATGGATGTTATGAGCTTCCATGTAGGTGCTGGGAACTGAACCTGGGTCCTCTGCAAGAACAGCAAGTGCTCGTATCCACTGAGTCATCTCTCCAGCTCCTCTCGTCTTTCTTTAAGCTAACCCTCCTAATGAAGCTCATATTTGGATTGTACCTTTTAAATCCTTGTTTTGTTGTTCGTATGACTGACCTGTTCTTTTCCTTCTGTGTGTATGTATGTATGTTTTGCCTATGTCTATGCACCATGTGTATGCAATGCCTGAAGAAGCCAGAAGAGGGCATCAGATCTACTGGGACTGGGGTTACAGACAGTCCTGAGCCACCATAGGGGTGCTGAGAATTGAACCTGGGTCCTCTGGAAGAGAAGCCAATGTTCTACCTATTGAGCTATTTCTCTAGCCCTGTACCATTCCTTTCTAATGCTCCCTCATCTCAAGGCCCAATCACAGTTTCGAGAACCTTTCCCCTAATAAAGCTATTTCCTGAAAAGTAATTGTACCCAACCATTTCTATTCCGTTATTTCTAATGGGGCAGCCTCTCAAGAATCTGGATTTGCAACAAGCATTTCAGATGACTCTTGTGCCAGCAGTCCAGGCACTATGCTGGAGTTGGGCGTGGAGGCGTCGAGTTGGCCATGTGCCTCTGAGCGCTTGCTTAGCTGAATCTGTTGCCTTTCATTCAAGTGGCACTAGGAGGGGCTGTACCAGAGGACCTGGGATCCAGTGGGGTGAAGAACGTGATACACTGAGATTCACACCATAAATGTTCCATGTGTTTTGCATGGGTGTTAGGCAGAATTTTTTTTTTATGACTATAAGAAGCAAGCCGAGGTGGATAGAGGAGGAGATACGGAGTGAAGGTAGAGGTAGCAAGTTCCACTTCTCCAGAGCTGTTTCTACTGACCAGAACTGGCTGCAGCGCATCAGCTGTGTGAAAAGACAGCCAACAAGCACATTTGGGCCACTTTAAAGGTAACATAGGTGCCCAGTGAGTCCCCACCTTCAACTCCTATCAGCTTCAGTCAATATGACAATGCTGCTCTGCATCACGTCAGTGATATGGTATAGCCATTACAACTGTGGCTCCGTTTGCTAAGAAATCTGCTTATAAAAGTTGTATGAATTTCCTTTGCTCATCCATACCAAGTCCCACTAGATTCCCAGATGCTCTCTGTGGTGGTTTGAATGAGAATGGCCCCAGCATCATATGTTTGAACGCTTGGTCCCAGTATTCGGGTGGAAATTGGCCAAGAGGGAGGGCAGTGGGCGAGGCTCACTCCAAACTCTGCCCAATGTCAGGAAGCCCCAGAGATGCTCAAGATCATGCCTACAGGATATTCAAGCAGCCTTTCAAGGAAAGGCCATGTGGTTTTTCCGGTTCCTTCTCCCCCTTTCCTCTCTTGGGGGGCGGGAAGACCACCCAGGAGCGTTTTACTCATTAAATCTGGATTTTTAATTCTCGATTTGGCATGGTTTTGTTTGCTGTGTAGGCAGAGAGACGGAGCAGAGAAATCTTTCACCTGGCTAGTGGACCAGTTTGGGAAAGATTAGGAGGCAGACCTTGTTGGAGGAGGTGTGGCCTTGCCGGAGGAGGTAGGTCACTGGGTGTAGGTCTTATGGTTTCAAAAGCCCACACCATCCAGTCTCTCTCTGCTGCCTGTGTATCAGAATGCAAAGTTCTCAGCTGCTGCTCCAGCACCATGCCTGTCTTCCCAACATGATCATGAACTAACTGTATGTAAGCCCCCAATTAAATGCTTCTTTTTATAAGAGTTGCCTTGGTTGCAGTGTCTCCTCATAGCGGCAGAACAGTAACTGAGACACCCTCCTACCAGCCTCTTCTTATGTACATATGCCTGCACCCAAAGCTGAATCCCATTTACCCAGCCATTGCTTTCTCTAGGAATCCCTGCTTCCTCCTCTGATACCTTGGTGATGCGAAGGGCACGTATTCTCCACCCAGCACTTGTTATCTTCTCCCCAGCAGGGAGATATTGACAACAGATGTCTTCCATCATTCAGGGACTGGCCCAAAGTAGTTGCTCAGTAGATCTTAGCTGAGCAAAAGAGGAATAAAAGGCACTGGTGTTCTCTGGCCAAAGGCAAGCCAATTGCTTGTTCCTCGCCTGTGTCCTGTTAGCAAGCTGAACAACCCAGACTGATGAAGCCAGAGAAGTGGCTCAGTGGTTTTGCACTTGTTGCTCCTAGAGAGGAGGACCAAGGTTCAGTTTCTAGGACCCACATGGTGGCTCACAACTATCTGTCACTCCCAAGGGATCTGGACTCTCTTCTGACTTCTTCTGACAGCCACTTGCACACATAATTAAAAATAAATCTAAAACAATGAAAATGAGAAGGGGAAGTTGGAAATGGAGAAATAATTAGTAGTTAAGAGAACACAGGTATAGGAGATATCCAGACTTCAAATTCCTATTGTTACATGCTGAGCTTAAACAAGTAATTCAGTCTGTGCTCTACTGTCTCACCCACAAAGTGGATGGAGAGACTGGGACTCAGCTAACAGGTCTACATGGTGACATATAAGCAGCACTGGGCACAGAGCTCAGTATATGACAAACAAAAACCAAAGCCATTACCAACTAAACTCTAGTTAGGGAAAAGGGAAAGTAAAAGAGGGGAAGTGTGTTACAACAGAGAAAAGAGAAATGGAAGGAAGAACAGAAAGGGAGGAGACATGAGAAGAAAATGGACATTCAAATGAAATAAAAATAAATGACATATTCTTCCAGGATCTGGGACAAGCATCCCACACTTAATCCTGGAAGAATTTTCTCTTGATCTTTTCACTCTGCCACTCATTCCATATAAGTCCCCAAGGAAGTATAAAAATAATTCCAGACAACCACTGTGACGCTTTGGTCTGGTCTGCCAAGGGTCTGACTGCTGGGTTCCTTGCTTGTGGTCAAGGGGTGACACCTGGAAGAAGAAATGCCTAGGTTTAAAAAATCATTTGGAAAACCAGAAACACAGTATTAGGAAGGCTGTCTCATTAGGAGGGAGTAATAGATGTTGTCTAGGGAGGAGCAGGGGTGAGGCAGACCCCCAAGTCCCTGGCAGAGGAAACTTCCTCCTGACCTTCAGACTATGTCAGAACAACTTTAAAAATTGCATCCATGTACCAGTTGTTCAGGTCTTCATGTGAAATAGCCACTGCTGCAGCCATATCATAGTTACATGGAGTCTCTGTGGGGCCCAGACAAACCTCAGCCAAAGAAATTTGTAGATTAGCTACTGGGTGCTCAGAACACAAAATGCTTTCTAGATATTATCTGTTTCTCAGCAGGAAGTGTGTGGGGGGGGAGTGGTCAAAGGAAGTTGCCCATGCCATGAATAAATTCAGTGAATACAATGGTAACTTCCCTTCAATGCTTCAGCCTTGGT